GATCCCTTCGGTATTATCAGATATTTTATTATGAAGCATTCATTTACCTAAAATGTAAATACTATGACAACATCTGCAGTGGCAGTGGCAGTGGAGTATACTGATATAAGAATCGTGAGATCTGTGTAAGTCACTAACGGAGGAAAAGCCCATGCAAATCATTTCAAAATAAATGAAATGACCTGTATTTATTAGTTTCAATATTGATTTTCTGTATTTATAATGAGCCGACGATCGTTAGGAGGCATACGCCGTATCTCAGATAGATACGGCGTATGCCTCCTAACGATCGTCGGTTTGTGGTGCCACCTGTGGATGAAGATTCACGTTTTTTTCGACAGCGTAATACAGTTTCAAGAGTTCTCTATCAATAACAGTTTGCAAAATTATGAAGAATTTCAAATATATAATTTGTTGTACGAATGCTCTCGAACAGTGATGCTACATACACTTTGATCTTTTTTTGTCTCGCGAGTGACAATAAAGAAATAGTAAAAACAAATAGTAAAAATAAACAAAAGATTAAAGTTCATTTCGTTTCACAAATTGGCCAACAATTTCCGGTATACTCGCTTTACATACATTTTGTTCCGGGAGTTTTTGATTCTGCTTTGCTCGTATCTCCGTAAATACTGAAACTTTAATGGTCATTTTTTTACCCTTTTTTTTACTTGTGATTCTCCACACATCCTGTCATTTTCGCATCAAAATATTCTATAGTACTTGAGAAAATTGAATTCTACTGCAAAATGTCCAGAGAGTATTACACGATGATATTTTGGTGAACCGTGATCTTATTATATACCATCCGGTTCGTCTTCGCAAGGACTGTCTGATGGTGAATATCTTAAGACTTTACAACATGATGTGCACCTATGTTTGACGGAGGTTCAGCTACATCCTAAAAAAGTGCTGTTTCTGCTCCAGCGATGTTGAAATGGATGTTCTAACGGACTAAGACAGGTCTAACACGTTGCCCACATTGAGATCTATCAGGTGATATGCATAAACCATTCTTTCGTAGGTCTTTTATTCACCCCATTTAAAAAACCTTGGACTTAACAACCACGCTTTACAAACCCTTTTTTTAAAATCATAGCTGCATGTCTTTGAACGACTTGAGAATGAGGACACATGAAGCAAAATTAACATCATAGATCATTTCGAAAGTATGAGTAGTACAATGTCTCAACCCCTAAAATGTCAAAACGGTTAGACGATAAAAATTCCTTACAAGAAAGAATTGTAAAGTACAATTTATTAGATAAAAATTCAAAATGAGAAAGCCATGATACTTTTGATTGCGATTTTCCATAATTAACAGAAGATCAGTTAAGAAACTGAACTTTCGGTAAGATCAGCTGCTTATCTGCTTGTTGGCGACCATAAATCTCTCTGTCTACTTCAGGTGTTTTCAATTACGCCGAGCAAAACTTATGTTCGCGAGCAGCTAAAAACACGCGAAACTTCTTCAGTCACTCCCAGTAAAAAAACATTCTGCACCAGAGACAAGTTGCATCCTTTCTTGTTTATGGAAAAAATTCGTGAATATAATCACTCAAGAGTTTTTCCTCTCGACTGTTTACTATATACAAGAAGATAGTGGATAATATAATTATAGTATCTTTCGACTGAGGGCTGTATTTTGGCAACAAAATTAAATATCGCATTCCACTGTATATTGAAGAAATATTTATTGCACAAAATTACAGTAACAACATAAAAAACCATCTTTAAAAATATATGTTCTGATCAACTATCACAATTTGCGCTAAATATGTTGCTCGTCAAGGAACTGGCTAACATACTTATAATGCTAACTTCATGTATAATCCCATCGCAGCTGCGACAAACAGAGCACATTGATCAGCCTTAAACGCTGTTACCGCATGATTTCTCTTTGAGGTGGCTTCGGTTGTCATTACTGGAGTAGTAACTGGTTTTTCAGACGTGTTTGTTGTTGAAGTCGTCACAGTTGTTGGAGTGGTGGTTGTCGATGGAGAAGTCTGAGTTGTCAATGGAGTGGTCGTCATAGGTGTGACAGTTGTAGTTGTAGTCGTTGTAGTTGTAGTCGTAGTAGTTGAAATCGTAGTAGTTGGGATCGTGGTAGTTGGAAGCGTGGTAGTTGTAGTTGTGGTAGTTGTAGTTGTGGTAATTGTAGTTGTGGTAGTTGTAGTCGTGGTAGTTGTGGACGGCGTTGTTATTGCACTACATACGCCATCGACAGTTCCGGGGCTCGCCCCACATGTTGTGGGATAGTTCAACTTACATCCATCGACGCATAGTGTACCATCACAACTGCCAACAATCAACGAACCTTGTAGGGTTGGAGTACAGGGATTTCCAGCACAGCACGTACATTGACACAGGCCATCTCCGAATGATTGCGTCACAAAGAGCATCATAGTAACACCAACGATAAGTAAAATATTCAACATACACGTCATATTTATGGAGACTTCTGTTTAAATGTGAAAAAGATTGATCTAAAATAAATTAGAATAAAAATATTCAAAACTTAAAATAAACTTTATAAATGAAAAGTATCAATAGAAAAACTTGGTCTGATTTAGAATTGTTCAGCTGTTTTACGATGACTTGCTTTATTTTACATGACTTGGTTGGCAACCAAAACTAGAAATAAGAAAAATATGAGTTGTATGATGTACTGATACTACAAAAACATACAGTAAAAAGTAGCTGAGAAAGTTCAAACGTACTTTTTAAATGAAGATTTATCTTGAATATTTGTTTTAATATTCCCTTTGATGAGTTTTTGTTCAAAAGAAAAAGCAAAATAATATTGTTAACTCATTTTCTACAAACCCTAGTAGAATCAACTCAATAATAGCAAAATTTTATAAACAAAAATTGGATTAAACAATCTAATAGGTTAAATAAGATCCATAAATGGCCTATTTTAAACCATTCATTTTGTGTACTTACTGTTTATTTTGAAGAGCTTGATTTTGCGAATATAAAAACAAAAGATAGATAGAAGAAATTCAAGGAGATGTTTAAAACCTAGCTAGATTTTTGAATGTAATTTTTGCTTACATAAATAAATATGATGTAGTTAATGTTATCTTACAAGTAAACATATAAGTGTAAGAAAAAAGAAAGAGATTACACTTTAATCATTATGATTCATGTTTTGTTTCACATTCTAGAAAAATAAAATGAAATTATTTCAAAATTTTCCTGGTTATCTCCGACATATAATACTCATAATAATATTACAATAAGAGTTATTTAAAATTCTAGCTTAAGAAACTAAAAGATACTGATTGAAACACATTGTAAAGCACAACTTTTGATATTGCATTCAGAATTCTTCCATCATCAATAGCCACGAGCTTTCAATTTAAAATTTTTTCAACTAGATGAATCCCACAACACCAGTATTGGTAGCAAATTTATGTTATGCACAAATTATCAGTGAAAACTTTATCCAAGACTTCGTATTCACATGATCAATAACTTGATTTAGTTATTCCTTATTTCGGGATCAAGTTAAGTACGAATGTAGGTAGTCATTTTCAAACGTATTAATTTACAATTTTAAATTTCTTAATACCAATGAAAAAATTTTAAGCTGATTTTTTTTGTACCACTGTATAACTTCTACAGGTTAAAGAAGGGTAAGAATATCAGGCTAAACGAAATTTATTTTGTGGATGTTAAAAGAAAAACAAAAGAGAAAGTATCAGTGAACATTTAGTGTAAAAATCACTTTTCGTCAGAAAAGATTGTTATAAAAATTAAAAAATATATTGAACATGTAAAAAAAGTGATCTATTTCAACGATTATAATAGAAACAACTTTTTTTCGTATAATATTTCAGCCATGTCACTGCAACCAGTAACAGATTTCATTTTTTCAGAAGTGAATACATTAACGTCAACAAGTAGAATAAAATAAAACTGAAAATTAATTCATCCTATTCTTTCTGATGTACGAATCATACATTCAACGAGTTTCAACATAGGCTGGATAAAAAAGAACGAGTTTTAAAATAAACTATCTCTATTATCATTTTATTACTATTGATAGCTTCCACAGACATGAGAGAATAAACAATTATTTTTGAAATGCATCATTTCCATCTTTTGTAATGCACAAAATTGACACTAATGATAACGCCTAAAACACACATTTACGAATGTTGTTTAATCAGTAAAATCATTTTTTTTCAAAAATTTGACTACCTAAATGAGAAGTATTATCGAGATAACCTTTTTTTAATGAACTTAGTCGTAACAGTTGACAAACGCAATATGCTTCTAGTGATATTGAATAATTAAGTCAAAACATATATAAAAAAAGTACCTGACGGACAAAAAAATATTATATCATAAGTGCTATGTAAACTCATTCTCTTCTGTCTGAAGTGCGAAGAAGTACGTCATGGTTGTCATTTTTTGAAGGTTTAGAATATGTGAATGATATTTAATAAAGTTTTATGTTTGGCTTATGGAAATGAATCATTGAACATTCTTAAAATTTGAGAGTATGGAATACCGTTATCAAAATATTATCTCTACAATAGATAATTTAATGAGCAACAGTTATTCGAATGATAAACCGGGTGCTGCTGTAATGCTCATGTTAGATAATACAATTATTTACCAAAAAGGATTTGGTGTGGCCAATTTAGAATCTGGTGAGAAAATAACTTTATCTACAAATTTTCGAATGGCATCTGTTTCCAAACAATTTACAGCGATTTGTGTTGCTTTACTTGAACAAAAAGGCAAACTATCATTTGATGACAATCTAAAATCATTGTTTCCTAATTTTAATAACACTACGGGATCAAAAATAAAAGTTTCACATTTATTAACGCATACATCGGGACTACTTGACTATGAAGAGTTTATTGTCGAGTCAATGACAACTAATCAATTAACCGATCAGAATGTATATGAACTTATTGCATCGCAAGATAAAACTTACTTTGAACCTGGTTCCACTTTTCGTTACAGTAATACAGGTTTTGTTTTATTAGGATTAATTATTGAAATAGTTTCAAAACAGTCCTATGAACAGTTTATTAAAAATCATATTTTTGATCCATTGAATATGTACACAACGACAATCTATCATAAAAATGAGTCAGTTAAAAATCGTGCCATGGGCTACGCTAGAAATGAAAATAATGAATTTTATTTATCAGATCAAAGTGTGATGAGTGCAACGAGAGGTGATGGTTGTTTATATACATCACTTGAAGATTATCTCAAATGGAGTAATGCTCTCTTCCATTTACCTAATTTGGTTGACCTGATTAATTTTCCAATCAACAATCATCAGTTCTATGGAATGGGATGGTTTTTAGAGAAAAGTAAAAACGTGTCTATGCTTCATATTGGAAATACGTGTGGATTTAGTAATATGGTCATTCGAATTCCTGATAAAAAGGCCTTAATTGTCTATTTTTCGAATATTGCCGATAATCAACTAATTAAGAATTTTTGTCATATACTAGAACAAATACCCGAATTAAATCCAGAAACTGATTTGTTGTGGACAATGGAAAAGTTAACTAGATAGATCAATTATTCATCACCTTGTTAAACAGTGTGGATAGTTCCTGATATCAACAGTTCATCAGCCAAAACAGAAAACATCATTTTAAAAGTCCACTAACAGTAGCTATTATGAATACAAACAATTTCATTTTTTGTATAGTGTCATTTCGATACGGAAAATCAACAGTAAAATTTGAAGTTATAAATGCTTATTCTATTGTAATATTGTAATGCACATGAGGCATTCTCGAGTCTTATTATTTTTTCAATGCTACGTTGCTGTTGCCATTGATACTATTATTTTTTCCTGTAAAATTATTTCTCTTAATGAAATGTGAGAACTAATGATAGATGAGATGATGAACGTAGTAGCACAGATGTAATGTAACTTATGCTCTAATACGGAAACTTCCGTTCTGACGAGTTTACTGCTGTTTTCTGATCTTTGATAGAGCAGACATTATGCTGTTTTGTACACGCTGATAGATCTTTATAATAGGACTCTTTTATATGAATATTTTTTAATAACAAGATGATGACGTTGATCAATTGATTTTCTGTCATATTTAGAAACGAAAAGATAAAATTTTTCTTAGATATCAATGCAATGTTGCATTGTGTGTATAACAGATTAAGTTTATTTGAGATCGGTGTTATATTGTTCGTGTATTATATTTCGAGTTATTTTTTTTATGCATTCGAGTTGTCATGTTCGTTTCAATTTTATTCAAAAAACGTATTTTTTATTTTATATATATATATGTATAAAACAAAATCACGTTCAATAAAACAGTAGAAATAATTTGATGAATTTAAAAAAAGAAAATCACAGAAAAAGATTTAAGAAACTTAAGTCTAAACATTTTGAGGCAAAAGAGCAGGATTTGGAGGTAAAATATGACCACCCTTTCGGGATAATATTGATATTTCGGCTTTTAATGCTTCAATTTCTTGAGCTTGTAATTGAACTAGTGTACATAAGCGATCAAATTCTTCGACATTTCGTTTTGTTGGACCAGCATACTCTTCAGCCTAAGAAAAAATTCATTGGATATTTAATATTATTTTATAGAAAATAACAAATACATACCACTCCCATTTTTCTTGCCATTAACTGATCATCTATACGTCGTTTATCATCTACAAGAGTGGCCAATTCATGTAAACGTTGTGTATTTGTTTTTAATAAATCAATCGTATCATCTTTCTCTTCCATTTTTTTCAACTAAAATAAACAGCAAAATGCAATATGAAAATAGTTACATATTATTTTCATATACTTCAAATTGTTGCATTGAATTATAATATTCATCACCCGCATCATCTAAACGTTGTTTTAATTCTTCTATTTGTAAATTGACAATGGCACCTTCTAATTTTTCTAAATTAACTAATTTACCAAATTTTTCTATCATCAATTTATTACATTCATCAGTTAAACGTTTAATAACTTCAACTAAATGTTTTAATTCATGTGATAAATCTTTTTTTGTTTGAACTTTATTTTCGTGTCTCTCTTTTTCTTTTTTTATTTCAGTTTTAACATCTACAATTCTATTTTGTAAAGCAATTTTCTCATTTGTGTTGAATATGAGTGCTTGTGCTATATCATCAGGCAAACGTGATGAACGATCGTATCGTATTTGATGTGTACGTAATCCAAAGGCAACATTGATATCGTTAATTTTACGCTGTTTCTTTTTCTAGAAAAATAAACAAAATAATTGTATATTTATGTACAGAGTAAGAGTAAATGTAATTATTAGTACCTGAAAATCAGTTAAATCAGACTGTTTGCCCTTCAATTCTATTTCAACTTTACTCGAATACGATTGTGTTTGTCCTAGACCTTGTTGTAATGTCTGTAATACGGTCTTCTCTTCAGTGGTTGCTTCATCTAAATGTATCAATACATACATTTTCAATACAATTCCAAGTCAGACATAATGATGCGTTAACAGCCAACCAAAAAATCGTCCATTAACGTCTTCAATACAGCGCGTTAACGACACTATATTCCGATCTTTTTATCATCGTTAACTGATCGTTTTATGCTGTTATTTATTTATATTAAAATTACTTATTTTGCTATTTTTTTAATCAAGTCAAACACTTTTTTGTTTTCCTACAATCAGCAGTGCGATTATCATTGATATTTTTAGATATATTCAGAAAATTCTTTCTTTTTCGAACGCTCAGGTGATAGAAAGGTAGCGTCAGACAGCTGTTCTTGCTTACTCCTGATAATCTGACACTGCTAGAGTAGATACTTGCGGTAATATAAAAAAAATTGAAAAATTATAAAAATAGTTTCCAAAAAATGTCTGAAAAATGCTACCGTAAACAGATCATTTTCTTACTGTCAAAAGAATCGTTCTCGCTATAGAAACGGTGTTAAAATGGTCCATTAACTATACTGTTTTCATTGATCTGAGATATGAATAAATACCTATATCAAGTCGTTTTTCTCTTAATGCAATGATATCATCGTACACTTTTTGATCTAAATTCGGCGGACAAATATCAACATCTACAAAAATAAATTGATAAATATCGAACGATTAAAGAAAATACGAGCTTATTACTGACCAAGTTGTCGTGTTGGATCATCTTGATTTAATGCATCATCACCATCCTCATCATCTAATTCCCAATCTTCTTCATCTTCATCAAAATCTTGACTATCTGTATCTTGATTGTCTAAAATATAATTAATCGTCATATATATTGTTTACAAAATAGAATAGTTACTTACCATCAGCATCTTCACCTTCAACTTTTTTCTTTCGTTTTATTTTTTTATTGAGTACACGTAATAAATAATTATAAAATTTATGTTCTTTCGGTATCATATCATCAAATTTTGCATAAAGATGTTTCATACGATCATCTAATTGATCAATATCTTTCTTCTTCAAATCAATTTTTTGTTGAAATTCATTTATCTATGTTAAAAAATAAAATTTTTCATATATGAAAAAAAGAAAATACATATGTTTTTGTCAATTTTATTTACTTTTATTTGTTCGGCACTAAAACGTTGTTGTGCTTCTGAAACTTTATTTTCTAAATCATTTTCTGTTCGTTCAAATTCTTTCATTAACATAAGTTCTTCATACATTGTTATATGTCTAAATAGTAGTTAAAAGAAGATGATGAATTCCATTTTAAATTAGATCATTAAATTATTTCATCTAATATCATAATTGAACGATGAACAAAATTTTTTTTTAATGGTATTTATTTACCGTAGTTCATTTTCTTTAACTCTAAGTGTTTTTATCATTTTTAGATAATATAGTAAACAAACATCATTGTCAAATGAATGCATTATTTCTTGAACATGTTCTAATATTTTATCTCGTTCAAAAAATAATCTAAAAATAAATTTACACATAAATGTGTTAAAAACATAGTTTTTTTTTATCGAACATTGTTTACCTGTGTACAAATGGATTATTCGATGTTCCATTACTCGTATCATTTGTGGATGGTGGCGTAGAATTGACTACATTTTTAATTTTTTTCAGATCATCAACAGTTGCTTGTTTGTCCATATTATCATATGCCGATGTTTTGATTTCAGTGGGAATTTCTAATACAGACCAACGATTATCAATGGTACGACGAATTGTCGATGCTCGATGACCTGTTGTTCCATCATCATCTGGACGACTCAATTGAGGACCATGTTGTTCATAGTCTTCCCGAAATGCTTGTATTTCTTCTTTGGTAAATTCAAAACGTCTAGATTAAAAATAGAAAACGTATCTTTTATATTAATTAGATAATCAAATAATATAATTGAATATTCTTACGACTGTGATCCATCATCTGATAGTGGTAATCTTTTAATGATAAATGCTGACGCATGAGTTTGTGCATTTTGTCCAAGTTGTTGAATACGTTGAAATTCATCATTGGCAAATGTAATAATACTTCGTTTTCGTTGTTGTAATTCAGTAACGCGATAATTAAATTTCATTTGATAGGTATAAGTCTTAAATATAATTAAATATTATATAAAATAGAAATTTACTTTTATTTTATAAATACTAACTGCTAATTTTAATTTCATAATTCGATCTAATGATTTCAATACTGTTAAACGTTGATCAGGTGGTACCTAAATAAAAATATGTAGAAAATGAATTTTATTTAAATCTAAATTTAATTAACTTACAACATAATCTAATGCTGTTTTAAGAAAATAATTTCCCATTTTTACACGTGCCAGACGAATGTTTTCAACTTCTGTTGGATCATCATAACCTACTGGCACTTTTTTATTATTCAATGCTGTCCACTAAAAAAAATATAATATTTAATAATGAATAAATTTATTTATTCAAAAAAACAATAAAAAAATTATTTACTTCATCTTTTCGTATTTGTCGTCGTTTTGAACGTTCTTCAACTTTTCTTAATAATCGTTCAACTCTTAATGCTTTGGCACCTTTTAATTTTGATGAAGTTGCTTTTGTCTCGGCCATTTGTGTCGTTTTCTGTTCTACACCTCTTCCATCTTATAATCATAGAATAAAAATAAAAATATATAAAAATATTTTACATTGTCTTTCAAAACTTTCACTTACCAACTGTTTCAATAATATCTTTGCTTTTCATTTTTTCCAATAATGCCATTTTTTGACGATCAATTTCTTCTCGTAAGTTATCAAAATCAGTTGGCAGAGCTACTGTACGAAATGTTGATACTTCCCATTGATTATCAAAACTTTTGACTGTAATCGTATCTTGTGCTACAGGTTCAAGAAACCTACGAAAAATATTTTTGTTTGACAATATTTTTTTTCAACAAAAGAGTCAAATTAGAATTGATTCAATTACCATTGTTCTAATTTTTTTGATGCTATATTACATCGTTCAGATTCCCATGCGAGTTCTTTAGTTGATTGATCAATTTTCTCTTGTAATTCTATTTGTAAATTGTTACGAATTTTTTCATCAAGTATAAATTCCTATAAAATAAGATAAGTTTGATTGAAAATAGATAGAAAAAAAATCATACAAAACAATTTTCCATACTTTTCTAGCCATTTTTAAATCGCCTGGTAATTGTTCATTTTCCATTAATAAATTTCGAAATTTTGTTCTTAATGCTTCAATATGATTTCTCATTTCTTTTTTCAATGATTCAGCATTATACATCATTTTATCTTTTTCTGCTTTCTGTTTATCTTCTTCAATACTAAAGTAAGATTAAAAATAATCCTATAAATGTAAAATTTCGAAGTTTTGAATATTTATTTCACCTATAATGTTGAGGATCAACAATATCTTGTGGTTCACTTTCAGTCGTTTGTGAAGGCATCCTAATTGGTGCTAATGCTGATGGAATTCGCTGTTGAAATATGTCTAAATCACCCTTGACAACATAACCAAAAATATTTCCATCAATACCACCTGACAGAGCAAATCGATTATCAAAACTCATTGATAAATGTGTCACCGAACCATATTCCGAATCGTGTGAACCCATTGTCCAATAGGTATCCAATGAACCAAATATCTGTTTTTCAACGTATGGATAAACACGAATAAAACCATTTTTTAATCCAACAAAAACCATTTTTGTGTCTTCTCTAAATAACAAAATCAAAAATTTAATTTAATTTAACATTTTGATAACAAAAAAATTCTTACTTTACTAAGATACAAGTAAGTGGAATATCTTCGCCGTGAGCCAGATCTGTATTTGGTACAGGTAATGATGAAATAACTGTATCTTGTCTTTCTTCAGAATATTGAAAACGATCATCTTTATTAGAAAATTGACAATGATACAAATAACCGGCATCATAATCATCCTGAGAAGAAACAAATAATTTGAGATTTCAATCTATTTTTTAAACACTGTATTTACCATAGATAACCAAAATGTGTCAGGTGATGTATAAATACCAAACAATGCTTGACTAGGAATTTCTGGAATATATGGTTTCCATTCGTCCTCCTGTTTCTGTTCTTCTTCTTCTTCTTCAGTTGTTCCTGTCGTAGTAGTACCTTCTTTTCCCTCTTTATCTGAGATAAAATACAGAAAATCAATATTGAAACTAATAAATACAGGTCATTCCATTTATTTTGAAATGATTTGCATGGGCTTTTCCTTCGTTAGCCACTTACACAGATCTCACGATTCTTATATCAGTATACTCCACTGCCACTGCAGATGTTGTCATAGTATTTACATTTTAGGTAAATGAATGCTTCATAATAAAATATCT